GGAAGATCACGAAGAGGATCCGTCGAGAATTGAAGGTTGCCTTTCAATTCTTCGAAAATGCCAAGGAAAGTATGAGTGTTTTCTATACGAAATGCTATATATTAAGGAACTATCGCCGTCCTTGAACACTCAATCGGACTCGATTCGTTCAAAACTTTATACTTGTTTAGTATGTTTGTTTGTTGTTTTTTTTTGTATACATGTTAGATAAATTTATGAAAGACAGAAATATGTTTAATCTGTTTTATGTTTTTTTTAACTATTATTCGTTTCAAAATTATTTTCAGAAACGTTTTTGATTAAATGTTTTTTTTTCCTTTTGCAAAAAATGCAGACACTGTATAAAAGCCCGTGGATACGTACCAGAACAGAAGAGAAGACCACTACATGTGACTTGCCCCAGATTTAGCGGGTGCGTGTGTATTGATAACCACCGTTTCGATTTGCCAACACCAAATTAAATCCATAAATCGCGTCCATTTGCAATGAACGGAAGAGTGAAAGAGCAATGACAACAACATCGGTGTCGACTGTCTTTTAATGACAATGTTCCTATGACCTGTTTGGGCTGCTTGTGGCATGAAGAAAAACGCGAGTGTCTGCTTCTTCGTGGTTGCAAGCATCTACCATGGATAAGCCGATATCCTCCAATGAATGAACATTGTCTGACTCCTTTGCCACTATGACACAATTGTGGACTGGGATACTTGTTAAACCAGACGCAAGGAGTTTAAAAAGCTCAGTTTTGTTGTCGTCATTACGCAAAAACTGTTGCCAGTTCTTACATATTGGTGTGGCTTTATTTACGAGGATGCCTACAACCAGGGGCGGATCTAGTTCCTAAGCTGACTGATGCCTAAGACCTCGCATTTGTAAGGGGGTCCGGTGGATCCTCCCCAGGAAATTTGGAAACCTAGGACCTCGGAAATGGGATTTCCTGCGTTCTGAGGGAACTCTTTTGTTCCAATTCATACTTCAGAGTCACAAAATTATTTGCTGCATTTTTGCAAACCACGTAAAAAACTTGAACCTATATCGCAAAAACAACATAATTTTTCCATATAAGAAAAAAATAAATTGTTTGTACAAGTGTAATAGCAGCAGTGGTACATAATTCTCTATTCAAAAATAGTCAGTACTGTGCTTCTTGTAGCCTTAACTTTTCTATTGAAAAACATTTCGGCAGAAATCACGACAAGGCAAATACACACATACGTATAACAAAGGTGTATACAGTGTGCTCCACTAGATGCGTTGCTGGACTCAGAAGACAGTGTTTGTTGTGTGAAGCGGTGTTCGATATGTATATTGAGTAGGAGAAAATGCTCTACAATCGACGTATTTTATCTGTCTTTAACTAGAAATACATGCATGCAGCAACCCCTCACCTATATTTTCCAAATATCGAATTAACATGAACTATTTGGAAATGGCCAATACTGAACACAGGCTCGTTGAAGTGTTGCCATGACAACACGATATTCGAAATATGTACTGTAGGCATGTTATTCTGCTTTTTGTGTGTTTTGATTTAATGTAAAGTTTAACTTGAAAAGCTTGGTAAAATCAGTTTGAAATGTTCTGCATTCAACTATTAAAACTACATTTTCCCTAAACATAATAAGTTCAAATTGTTCGGTAATTTCAGTTCCGACTTGGAATTAATTTATTCTCCTTTACCTTTTTTGCTTTTTTCTTAAATTAAATAGGATAATTTAGTTAGGAAACTTACAGCTTCGTTGGAAAGGAAAATAGTTCATGTTTTTATAGGCAAAAGTGAAAGCAACAAAATTCATAAACATTAATAATTCAAAGCAAACTTGCCCCATTTTTCACGATTTCCCATAGTCCATAAATTTTTGTTATTTCTTCAAACATTAATTGCCTCAAAGCTCATTGTGTGAAACGTGATTTTCTAAGTATATGTTTTTGGAAGATTGAAATCTTGCTTATCCAACTCCTGGGAAACAGCCATATTTTTGAGATCAGTGAGGTCCAGCCATGAACCATAGTCACGCGCCCGCGATACTTGATGAACTTTAGAGTTCGTTAGTGCTTTTCTTCCCCCCGGGTGTAAGTAGCCAGAGGAATTAGTACCCTCCCCCCTACTAGAAATACATTCATGCAACAACCCCTCGCCTATATATTCCAAATATTGTGTCAACATGAAGTATTCGTAGTTACGCCAACACTGAACGTAGGCTCGCGTTGCCACGTCATGTTAGTCATGGCAACACGATAATTGTTTTTTAATTTTTGGTACAAACCGGGAAAAAATAGATGAAATTTGAACACTTTTAAATGCAGAACTATCAATTTCTAAAATATATAAAGTAGGTATAATATGTCTAATGTCACAGGCAACAACAAAATCCCCCTAGTATTAAACTATCATCCTTTCAATTTCAAAGTTAGAGATGTCATCAACAAGAATTTCCATATTTTGAAAAACGACCCTGAAACATCTTCCATTTTCTCCGATAACCCCTTAGTCTCTTTTCGACACAGCAAAAATATCCGTGAAACCCTTGTCCATAGCTCCCTAACACAGGCTTTGACGTCACAGAAAGGCACTTTTCCTTGCCTGTCGTCGAAATGTAAAACCTGTGATTTTATAGATTCCACCACTATTGTTTCGGCACCTAAATCAAGCACCATTTCACGTGCGCCTCCTCCCATCTCATTTACTGCATCTCTTGCAGCAGATGTGGCATGCTTTACATTGCGGAAACTGGAAGATGTTTAAGGACAAGGTCAGTTGGTGAGCATCGGCGTGCAGTTATTGGCAATGATGCTAACCAACCTGCTGCCAGACATTTTAATGATGGCAATCACAGTGTTTCAGATATGTTAATTCGAGCCCTCTGTCCCATTTCTGGAAGCAACGATAGCCGCAAACGACATGAAATGCGCCTCATATCCAAACTTGGCACTGTTCACCCTTCTGGCATTAATGAACGCTTTTCTTATGTTTAATGCCATCATAGACAATCCAGAAGACATGTCTTCTGTTTTGTCTATGATGCCATCTGTCTTCGCCTGTCTATGGCAGACATTGACAACTTCTATTTATTACTTTTACTTTACCTTATTCCCACACGTGTTTTGTTTTGATTATGTTTTGTAGTAATTGCTTAACTTCCTGTTTATTTTTATATTTTTAATTATGTTATAATCTATAATGCGATTTACATATTTTGTTTACACTTTGTTATTATTAAATCCATCTAATTGGTATATTTTTTGTCACGTGATGCTTTCATACTCTTAGTATGAAAGCCCGTGCATTTTCCCCGATCCCTGCTCTTGACGAAGGGCCTTCGCTCGAAACGTCGAGTTTCCGCTTATTTTTAAGGTATTAATATATAACCACTCAGCACAGCATTTTCACATTGGTACTACCAACACTGGTACAGACAGTTTTAGTATAATATTTTGAATTCGTTTCTATGGGCTTTATTTTAATGTAAAATTCAAAACGAAACCCTACGTAAAACGTTTTTAAATGTTAATTGAAATTAACTGCTTTTTGCCGATATTTATAAACTTCTCAACTCGAGCTTCAACTTATTACTCGCACTTTGAAATGAAACAAATTTAATTCGTACAGGACGCTAATGAAAATAATTTGCTTTCCTTTTTATCATGAACTTCTACAAAAGTTAATTTAACTAAGAAACTTTCGAAAACAATGCATAGGAAAGACTTGAACATGAAGAACAAAGTCTATATTATTAAATACAAAGTCATACATAAACAATTGAAACAAACTTGCCCTATACTTTAGGATTTATCATTCTTATCAATGTTTACGTTTAAAAATTGCAAAAAATTGTACAATTTGTTATGTGAAACGATTTTCCAAGCTTCCTTAGATGTATTTTTTATATTTTTTGCCTTCTTCACTCCTGGCAAACAGCCATACTTTGAGATCAGTGATGACCACCCACCCAACACTCCCACACATAGAAATAATAGACATAGAATGCGTGCTCCTATCTTTTCTGAGTAAAAAATTTGTCTCCACGAAATGGCGCATTGAAAAGGGCATTTTGGTTGGTCCCAGGCTCATGAGGCAGGGAATTTCGCGCGGTTGCAAGGTGTGCAAATTATTTTTTCACTGAAAAGTCTGCAAAAACATTTATATCGGGAGTTAAAGTGGAAAAAAAGGTTTGGTAAAGAAGAAAAAGTGTCTAAAAACCCATTCCAGTGGTCTTTTTTTACGAAAAGAAATAGTTCTGAACAGAATATATGCAGAAATCGTCGTTTAAAAATAAATTTTCAACGCTGTGCTGTTGTGCAAGCCAAACCAAACACGGAGGATCAAGACAAACTCATTGGGTATGTTCTACAAATATTTCAACTATTTTATAATATAAATGGAGTTCAATAATCTTTTTAAACTTACACAATTTTGTTTAATATTTTTCTACGTTGCTTGAGCTTGAGGCAACGCTTTTGAAACCATATAATTTTCGACGATTATTTTTAGGCAATTTACAGCTTATCGACAACTAAATATTTTTGTTTCAAGAACATGAAACACTTCGTTTACATTGAAGAGAAACGAAACCCAACGAAGAAAGAACTATCAATTTGTAATCTTATAAGATATTTATAGCAAAACAGTTACGTTCAGGGCATGCAAAAATGTTTCATGAGTAAATTTATATATTTTCGCGAATCTACTTTGTTTTTACAAGGCTGCATGCACGATTTTTACCGTTTTGTAACTGCACATTTTCTTTGACAGTTTGTGCCTTCAAGGAACTCAAAATCTATCCCCAAACTACAAATTAGACAACAAGACAAAACGTTTTGACGATGAAAACGTAGTTTTAGCTTTGTTTATACTTTGTAGTTTGCACTCCTGGCCAAAATTCAAAATGGCGCATTCAAAAGGGCACGCACGGTGAAAAAGTGGAGACATGATTCGTCATCAGCACACATTCTATGTCTATTATTTCTATGCTCCCACATCGTTGGTGAGCGCCCGCGGTCCTTGATAGGCTTCTACAGATTATGCTTGGCAACTTTTTGGCAACTTTTTGCATTTGGAGCAACTTTTTATGATATCAGCAACTTCAAGCAACTTCCTCCAGGAAATGCATAATTTTTGGAAATTTCTGGCAATATAGACCATGTTGCTAATTTTGTTTTTGATAGAAAATAATGTAATGCATGCTTGTTAGCCTTGAATCCCTTGTTCCATATTCTCTTCAAGCTCTTTTTCTTGGTCATAATTATAAAAGAATAGCACGACAAGGCTCGAAAATATTTTCCTTATCCTTGGCCATTTGACAAACTTTTTAGCTTACCATTATTCTACAGTTTGGGAGAGCCTATGGCAGTTTGCTTGACATATTTGCCAACATCCACAACAACCCTCATAACAACCCCCATAACTGCAAGTTACATTAATTTGCTAATTTCTGGCAGCTCAGACCAGTTTGCAAGCTCAGTTTATGACTGTTTATCAATCCCAACAATGGTGCAGTTTGAAAGTATCACGAAAGTTCATGTGCCCAATAGTAATACACTACAGTATTATAATACATATACTTGAGAAATAGAGTCTAGCGACTTAATTCATAGCTGCAGTATGTTATTCTATTATAAATCTTAACTGATTTTATAGCTTTTTAGCCATTAAGTTGTTATAAGACGTCATAGTTATATAGAACTATAGTTAGTTATGAACTGTTATTATTGTCAGTGGCGGAAATTCACTTTTTCCTGGGGGGGGGAGGGGCGAAGCCTTCTAAATTTCCGACAAAACTTTCAAATTTCCGACAACCCCCCCCCCATTTGCACTAGAAAAGGCTGTTTTTAGCCCTCTTATAGGTCAACATTTCCGAAAATTTGTCATTTTCCACGAAGGTGGGGGTGGGGGCGGTCTCCCCCTCCGCCCCACCGAGATTTCCGCCACTGATAATTGTATTTATCTACCATGTTTAATATACGGTCATATCTTGCTTTGCACCCATTCGTTTACAAGAAACTTTTGACATTTTAGGAGCAACTTTTTTCAATTTTCGAGCATCGTTTGAGCAACTTTTTCAATTTTCGAGCAACGTTTGAGTAGCTTATTCAATTTTCGAGCAACGTCTGAGCAACTTTTGAGCATTTTTGGAGCACAATTTCAGCATTTTCGTAGCATAATCTGTAAAAGTCTAGTTATTGATGAACTTTAGACTTCGCTAATGCTTTCGTTTCCCCGGGTGTAAATAGCCGGGGGGAATTAGTACCCTCGCACGGCGCTTCGCGCCGTCGGCTCGGGGATAAATAGCCGGGGGAATTAGTACCCTCGCCAGTTTCGCTCCGCGCCGATAGCTCGGGGATGAGCAATGTTTACTTAATGTAAGAGTCTGTGACATCCTCCGTGGGGGGGAGGTGTTCAATATGTTTGTCCATTTAGATATTTTCTTTAACGCGTTATTGGCTGCAGTTCGTTTACTTCTGATCTCTTGTCTCTGTGGTGCTACGCCTACCGATTTATGTTCTGTTTTGGACATGATATCTGTTCGCACTTCAAGGGGATATAATTTCGCGATGGGTCTGTTTGTCTGGCCGGTCGAGGTACATAAGTTTGCTGCTCGGATAAGGCCGTTGTTTCCCGTGATAAGATCTTCGATCACAGCAAGTTTCCATTTTATTCTTGGACTATCGTCGTGGATCAAGACTACTTCTCCGACATGGATGGTTTGATTGTTCTTTCCAATCGTTTTATGAAACACTCGAAGAGAAGTAAGGTATTCAGCTTTCCATCGTGATAAAAAATGTTGGAGGAATGTTGTTGTATTTGAGCACTTCTTGTTATTTCCGAGATGTTTCCATATTCGGATCGTTGATTCCATCATCTTCCACAATCAGGTGGGGAAGGGAGGTGATACGTCGTCCGTACAATAAACGAGAAGGTGTGAGGGGTTCTTCGTCTTCGATATCGCTGGATACGTACGTAAGTGGTCGATCATTTAGCACCGCCTCAATTTCGACAATGTTCGTCTGAAGACTTCAAAGAGTAACACGAGCACGTCCTAATAATTTCTTTAGAACTGTCTTTGTGAGACCGATGAATCTTTCACAAAACCCGCCATACCACGGGGCTCGCTTTGGGATAAAGTGCCAATATACTACTCGTCGATTAAATGCTTCCTTTAGCGATGTGGATTGAAAGAGACGTTCGAGTTCCTCCGCGGCCGAGAGATATGTTGAACCATTGTCGGAAACCATCTTTCGTGGTAGGGATTTTCGACTTGCGCATCTGCGAAAGGCTTTCAGGAATGTTTCTTCACTCAGATCTTCAACGACATCCAAATGCAGGGCTCGTGTAGCCTCACACGTAAATAGACAAACGTAACCGTGTTGGTGTTTTCACGAAAAGTGCACCTGTAAAGTCTACGCCAGTTACTGAAAACGGTGTTGAGTCTTGAACTCGCCATTTAGGTAAAGACGCTGCATCTGGGATTGTATAGGGTTTGCCACTTTGTTTTCGGCACACAACACATTTGCGCAGCAGATTCTTGATAACTTGTCTTGCTCGTGGGATCCAGAATCTGTCACGAAGGGCAGTTAAAGTTGAATTTACACCAGAATGTAGTTGAGCAGTGTGAGTAGAGTGGATGATCAAGGTGCACGTGGTGAAAGGGTGATCTACAGGTAGCAAAATGGGGAACTTGGCTGATTGGTTGATGGGAGCGTTGTGGATTCGTCCGCCACATGCAGCGGATAATGTGGTGCTGGTCAAGGAATAATCGTGGCTGTTTTACTAATAGTAGGTGCGAACTGTTCTTTGTGGTTAGGTTAACAAGCTCTGCAGAGTAGGTTGTGTGTTGGCAACACTGTATCCGCAGGTTCTCGGTTGTATTCGTCTCAATAACAGTTAGTGTCCCAGTTCGCTTAGGAGTTCGCTTGATTAGGCTGTTGATGAATCTGGGAACGTAGGCGGTAACGTGGATTAGGGTAGTCAGACTGCTGTGTCTCGATATATCAATAACGTTATGTATACCGGTGTCACCTGAGAAGCTTAGGGTTGAAGAGTCTTCCATTTGGATTGATTCGTTTTCTCGTACTTAGCTTGCTGATCGGCTTCGACCAGTAGTGTAGTTGTTGGTGTCCAGGCAGTCCAGTTTACAGCAGGTTAAGGTGAGCCACGATGGTCCATTGTTCCATAGCGTTGATGAATGCATCTGGGTCGTAGTGAAACCGCGTGTTAGGAAGTCAGCGGGATTCTCATTTGTTGGGCAGTAGTGCCAGATGTTGGAAAGAAATAAATCTTTGATAGATCTTACACGGTTTGCAACGAATTGTTTGAGTTGTTTATTGCTACTTAGCCAATATAATACGATTTGACTATCGGACCATAGGTGAACTTCTAGGACGTTATAACGAATCTTGATTGCGTTGTGAATAAATGAGGCTTACTCGTGCATCAATTAAGGCTGCCATAAGTTCGAGTTGAGGCATTGTCAATGGAGTTTTGATAGGAGCAAAGCGTGTTTTTGCCATAACAAATGCAACTTGAGATTGTTGTTGAAGGTATACCACTGCACCGTAGGCTAGTTTACTCGCATCAAGAAAACCATGGAGTTGTGGTGTGTTCTTGGAAACCGTGGGCGTTAAATGGTAGCGTCGTAGTATATTGGTTTGTTGAGCTTCAAACAAATCTACAGCTAATTTGAGCCATTCTTGTTGAAGTTGTTCGTTGAGGGGTTCATCCCAATCATCGAAGGGTTCATCCCCATCGCCACAGTTGTTGCATGAAAATCTTGGCTCTGATTGTTACAGGAGCTATTATCCCAAGGGTATCGAAAATGCTGGAAGAGTGTTGCAGAACTTCGCGTTTAGTGATCAGTTAACTCTTGACTGTTAGGTAAGGATATATTTCTTGGTTGCAAAATGAATGGTATCAGAGGATGTGTTCCATTGTAGGCCGAGAACATTGATATTAGTTTTTGGAGTTGTCTCAGGCTATCAGCTGTTCCATCTTTAGTTGCTTTCTGTTGAAGTGTCGGACTATTTGAGGCCCATGTGCGTAGGTTGAACTTAGCTTCAGTCCAGGCATTAAAATACGGAATTTTTACAAGGACACACTTTGCCTTAAAAGGCGTATTTTTGGTATAAATGCGCAGCTTTACGAGAACGAGTGACGAAGCCACAAGTTTGGCGTCGAAGACGCGAGCTTTTAAGCCGGTTTTCCACTAGGCGGAATTTTGCGCGCGGAGCGGAATTTTTCTTTGTCTTATGATTCCTCGGGTGGAACTAATTAACCTTTAAGGGGGTCTCTGAAATGGCATTTCCAGTGTTCTGAGAACAGAATTTGGAAAATATTTGGCAATTTTGCGTGGATTACATTAATATATTTTCTGTTTAATATATTTTCAAGTACACACTTTTCAATTTACAAGGGCACATTCGCCTTTTACAAGGACACAAAGTGTGTACAAGGACACGCTATTTTAATGCCTGCTTCAGTCATAATCGACCTTGCTTCGTCATAGTATTGGCAGGCATTTAATTCGGTATCAGCACTAGACAGAATATTGTTCACGTACATATTGTCCTTCATGTCGCATGCAACGGGGGTTGAAAATCGCTCGAGGTGTTTTTGAAGGGTGTCATTCAACATGAATGGTGAACTAGTGGTGCCAAAAGGAACTGCTTTGAAACGGGAAGTGTCGAAGGGGCTATCTGGATCGTTTGCGTCTGACAACCACAGGAATCGGGTAAAATCTCTGTCACATTCATGAACATGTAAATGGTGAAAGGCTTTTTTGATATCGGTCGCAATCTGATCTGGTACGTCTCTGGCAAATAGAAAAGTTCAAAGGCAATGCTGGATGATTGTCTTTCCACGGAAATTTCGCAGTGTAGCTACAGTCATCCTCACGAGAAATGGCAGATTGTTGATACTCAAGCGAGAGGCTACTTTCATCGTTGTTGGTAATTGGTACGGTGATGCTTAAGGACTCCAGGGAACAAAATGTTTCAAGTTGTTGATCTTCTTCGTAGTGGGAAATCATGACATTGAGGATGTTGGTGGGAGTTCTGTCACCCGCTGGCAATTTGATGGGCCCAGACACAAGGTATCCTAACTTTGATTGCATTGCTGTGGGACCATTTCCCCGAATTATGTGGTCTTCAAAGAAATCCCAGTATTGATCTGCACCTATTAATAGGGAAATCTCAAAGTTCTCATCGCTGGTGACTGGGTGGGCGAGCTTGAGCTTTCTAAGGTAGGAAAGATCTTTGATAGGGGCTCTAACCTTATTCTGAATTGGGGTGGCAATCTTAGGCACAATAAGAACTTGGATAGGAATACTTCCAGATGATTCCGTTTCAATATTGATGGTGGCGACATCGAGGTTTCTCTTTGTTGCTGCGCTTGCTCCGAATGCTGAAAGGTTAACAGTTTCTTTCGTGGTGGGGCAAAGACAGAGTTTCGTGGCTAGTGATTGTGCTATAAAGGAGGGTTGAGCACCTTTGTCGAAGAGTAGGTTGGCTTCTCTGCACGAGTGGTTGCTGAGCTAATGGTGGTTATGGCAGTTTTGAGTAGTGATGTTTGGGTCTCATGTTTCACTTGCTTAGAAGTGGTAGGAGTTGACTGGGTGGGTGTCAATGTAGCGAGAACTGGTGAATCCTTATGTTGCCGATTTTCACCATTACAAAGACTTGTGTGATGCTTACGATTACAACTCTTACATCTGTTTTTCGAACGACACTGTGAGGCTTTGTGATGTCCGAGATTGTTAAAGCATAGGTCAGCTTTCTTAACAATATCATACCGCTGCTGGGGGTCGGTAACAACTTTGCATGCATTAGATGAGTGACCTTGTTGGCAGTAGGTACACTTAGGTGTCAGTTGTCTGTTACGAGGTGGTGTGAGTGGGGGTAGAGATGACCGCATGCCTTCTGCATGAGTGTGAAATGATGATGTAACTGATGATGTTGTCGAGTTAGTAAATTGCCCTGCTTCTAGATCTAGAATTCTCAATTCCTTGCGTATAGCATTTCTAAGCTGACCAATTGCCCAGTCTAGAGACAGTTCTTAATGCAATGCTCATTTTTCTTAAAATTTTATTAAGGGACATATTTTAGATCCTCGCTTGCTGCTACTGGTTATTAATTGGTCCCGATCGCATTTGACGTCGTAAGGGAGGTCAACAATATATTCATCAACATTTTTGCTATAACTCTTATCCGAGCAACTCAAATTTTTCGTTGACTACGAAAACAATTTGCCAACAAATCCGATATTTTGCAGACTTAAGACGTTTTCAAGTTGTGGGGGAGGAGTAACACTCCACAACTCACACCCCTTATAGCAACGGCCCTGTTCTTTTTGTACGCATTGCATGGCGTGTTGTATAAAATATATGAAATGACAATATTATTTAGTTGATTCAATATTATCCAACTTAACACTAATGGCGATGTCAAAGACGCTTTTTGCCATATTCAGCTAATAAAGTTCGGTAAGCAAAGTTGAGAACAACACACTTAAAAAACGGCAAAACTTGTAAACTGGTTCAGTCTGGCTACATCAAAATAATAAAATGTTGTATTGTTGGCGGAATATTTAACATAAGAGCAAAACAAATGAAAAGTGCAAACAAAAAAAGACAGGCGAAAAGTCAAAATGCAGCGCAGAGATTAACTACAAGCACAACAAGTATGTTGAAATTAATTCGAGCAATGTGTGGTTTCATTTTCCCCAATTATAAAGGCTTGAATAATCAAAATATTGATAAAAGTTCCATTATTTTATGCCCCCTTGCATTTTAATCAAATAAATACCGTGAGAAATAACGGATGAGCGATCAACCGATTTGCAGCGACCAATCAGAAACATTTCATTATATACTTTGCTTGCATTAGGAAAAATTGAAATATCATCACGAAAAAGCTTGTATATTGATATAGCACTTCAATAACTTAAATGACCACAACAAAAATTAGGATATTCTTGGATAACAGATGGGTAATTGTAGCTAGAATGTATGTCTAATTTAAAACTGCCGGTTTCCCTGATTTTTCTATACTATATTGTAGTATATATAGTTAAAAAACCGTGAAAATATGTACTATCAACTTCAGCTGCAATTTCCATAGGCAACAATATGCCTGACATTTGCGCAGATTATTTCTGAATGTATATATACACTAATGAAACATTGTCCATAATTATAGCGAAGTGCACATGTGTGAACATGCTGATATCTGTAGATTCAATGTTAGACAACAATACATCTTTTATATGCCGGAATCTCTAGATTTGTGTTGTTTATGACAGCAAATACAATAATGAAAGTGTACAAACCTCAGGTAAGTCCATGACGCTTGGGGTTATGTGAACTGACTATGACAAACTCCGATTCATTGAATTGTGTGTAGACCTATATATACATTTTTAGAACCACTGAGTATTTAAACAAAATACAAAACAAGTGTAACTCCAAAGATCGACAACATTTTTATATTTATCTACGTTTCGACTATATTTCAGTCATCGTCAGGATAAACTAGCTATAGGTTATACATCAAAAGCAATACAGTATTTATATGAAGAAATATGATACAGTCATTAGGTTGATTCTTAATGAATGAATTAATTAAATATGATTAGTTCTAGCTAGAAGCTTTAATTCCCTGATTAATTAATTAAGTTCAGGTTTATATCTTTGAATACCCAGGGATTCTTGATGTGAAGAAAGGGGTTATTTTGCGCATCAACGAACGAGTTAGTCTTTCACCAAATTTGCCAAGATATAGTAGCTGTAACCAGATTTTAGTAGTTTAACTCATTGTTCGGGGGAGTGGCATTACTGCGAATTTTGTAGGCATGATTTATGAGAACTCGGATCCAAGCAATTTTTCTTGACTATGGTGTGAAGCTTGATATGTGGGAGTATTGACCCGCATGAGTCGGCTTTCTATAGACAGAAGTTCTAGAGGGATGAATGTGGATGTCAACTGAGGAAATGGATGTCATTGTCGCTGAATTTTTTCACGGTAAATTGTAAGTTAGGATGGAAAGAGTTAAACTGAGTAAGAATTAGTTGTACGTCAGATGGTCTCATGAAGATAAGGGTGTCGTGAACGTAACGTTTGTAAAATCTTATTAGTCCTGAATTAATGATTATGTTATATTAACAACTCTCAAATTCCGTCATAATAACCCCTCTTCTCGCATCAAAATGCCGATTCATTATTATCTGGAGAACCATTGACAGCAACGTATTTGTATCATGCAAAGATAAAACCTCGAAAACTTATCAAAGCTCTGTCGTCGTCTATGAATTTACTTGCCCTGGATGTAATAGTATAGGTACATCGGCAAAACTGACCGCTGCTTATACACCAGAACTAAGGAACACTCATATCACACAGAATCTGTAATCTATCAACACCTCTCTACTTGCGAGCAGTTTCAGCATATTAAAGCCCTTTTAAAACTATATCCCGACGATGACGCAAAGTCTAATTAAACCAGTATAATGGCTGAACATGTTTTCCGCAATACTAAAGTAATTGATAAATCTATAACCATTGGTTCCTTTTGCTGTATCAAGAATCCCTTGCTATCCAAAGATATAAACTTGAACTTAATATGAATGGAATTAAAGCTTCTGAAGAACTAATCATATTTGATTAATTCACAAATAATCAACCTAATGACTGTATCATATTTCTTCATATACTGCTTTTGATGTATAACCTATCTAGTTTATCCTGATGATGACTGAAATATAGTCGAAACGTAGATAAATATGAAAATGTTATCGATCTTTGGAGTTACACTTGTTTTGTATTTTTTATACAAAAACATATAGAAGTAAGCATACTATGGATTATACCAAACATTTTATTAGGGTAATTAACTCATCCCAACGAAAATTGCCTTTTTGCGAGTTAAGAGGCTTTAAAAGGTTGAGTATTGGCTAAAATCACAATGAAAAATTAATTATTTGTCGAAATACGTCTAGAAGAGATAAATATTTACATGGCAACTAACAGAGTGTTGCGAAGAGAAATGGTTCTTAACAGAGACTTGAAACAGGTGCAAAGTGTTGAGATGTTCTAGCAAGAAATTTAGGATGCCAGTCCCTTTATAGCTTTATTTCCACCTGGCGAAATGTAGCAAAATAAATTAGCCAACCGAGGCGATGTAGTTAATCTAGCAATGACTAATAACGGAATGTTATGTATATTCTTTATCCATCTGGCATTCTAAGAGAGTTTTTCCAATCATAATATAATGTAGATCACATTATTATAGTAGATTTAATGAATAGTACTTGACATAAGCTTACGTCCAAACTAAAATTTATACTCACCTTATGGTCTGCTTCGTGTTGAATTTGTATTGTTGCTAGAGAATTGTTGGAAAGCTAATCACCAAGGACCGCTCCGGTTTTTAACAAATTTTGTTCAGGGTATATAATAAGTGCTGTTGTCGGATACATACGCTTCGAAGTCGTACAGTATCTCCACGAATTAGTGACTGAGTGCAGACTGTAATAAAATAGCGTATTATTTGTGAGCCAATATCCCTTGGTAACTGGTGTTAAAATATTTTGCATAACAATATCTGGAGAGCAAGTTTATTTACTTTCATAAGTCCTTTGTTAACAAATCCCACAGCTCTCCAGGCTCCCAGTCACTTATTGTTCTCAACTATTTTTAGTTAACCGCAAACTTCCTATTACGTCAACTATACCATGTTGATCACAGTGAAATGAATATAAATGAACGCTACCTCCAACGCACGAAAATATAAAGCCAAAGTTGAAGGCTACTACCAGTCTTTCCATGCATGCAAAGAGCGAGGTCAATCCATAAAAAATAATATATATTTATTCTTCGAGACTGGCTTAAAATTTATGAAAAAAGCTTTTGAGCCAGCTCTCGAAGCTTTTTATTAATGCATTTTTCAGGTAAAATTTCATAGTATACTTTGCTTTTAGTTTTTTCTTTTTTTCTCTCGAATTATTGTTGATGCAAAAGAATCGCGAAGCATAAACACGCGGTTATTAGTAAAACAAGGAGCACGGAACACGGAGGCACGGAGCACGGAGCAAGGAGCACGGAACAAGGAGCACGGAGCACGCGCAGCACGCAGAGCGCGCGGGATACGCGGGGCACGGAGCACATGGAGCACGGTTTACTATTACAAATCGCCGAAATAGGATTGTGAAACTCGTTAAAATATTACATTTATCAAACTTAATAATTACGTACGGTTATGTTTATAATTTACTCTCTATAATATATTATATTCCGATGGCCAACTCATAAAGAAACGCTTATAGAGAACAACATATATTTTAGAACACATTTTAGATTTTTTTACTCATCTTTCCAGTTTGATCCGTTTAGAATATTAAATCATTCACTGTTCCTTCGATTTCGACGATATTTTTCACATAAAAACAGACAAAACTTTTATTTCCTTTTACAGAAAAACACACGAAAACATTACTGACAAACAGATATTTCGTAACACTTCATGTAATGTCAAATATAGCATCTCTATTGAACATTTCCCCCTCCCGAATTGAGAGAAATGCAGTTCGAAATTCGTAAACTCAGTAACTAACAAAACGCATTATGAACAGTCTGTTTATAAGTTTCTTGTCCGTTTACAATTCTAACGGAGATACCCGTGTTATCGGTTGCCTCAACTCTCGCCCACCAACTTTAACGTCAATAACCCGAACCAGTCCATCATTTCCGGGATAAACCTGTTCTATTCGCCCAACTTTCCACTCTCGTCTCGCCGCGTCTGGATCAATTACCACAACAACATCGCCTACGTTCAAATTCTTTGTTGGTAAAAACCATTTCTTTCGAGATCCAATGTGTGGAAGATATTCTTTCATCCATCGTCTCCATACGTGTCGCACTAACTCTTGGATCCGTCTCCACCGCTTCTGGGCATTGAATACTGTCGTATCAACGTTCTCGTGGACAACATCTCCTCCCATTTGTCCTATGAGAAAATGGTTTGGCGTCAGTACAAGTTCGTCATTAGGATCATCACTTATCGTTGTCAATGGTCGAGAATTTAGTAGACTTTCAACTCCAGTGAAAACTGTTTGTAATTCCTCATCATTGACGTCCGCGTTTGGCAAAACTGCAGCAATTGCTTGTTTGGCTGACTTTATCATACTCTCAAACATCCCGCCGAAGTGTGTTGCTGCGGGCGGATTCCAATACCATGTAATGCCTTTATTCGCAGTTGCTCTCTCTATTTGCTTCTGGTCTAGTTGTTCGACTAATGCACGTATTTCTTTTTCTGCGGCAACAAAATTCGTCCCGTTGTCACTTAACATCTTCTTTGGCCATCCACGTCTGGCGGTCATCCTTACAAATGCATTCATAAATCCACTGACGTCAAGACAGTGACGAATCCATTTCTAGATGACAGCAATGAGTCTGAAGACATACACAAAGACACAGACATCGTTTAGCTCTAACCTTTCCCCGTCCTTGGTTTGTAAAATAAGGTCCTCCATAATCGGTTGCACAGTTTTCGAACGGCCTGCCAGTCATTTCCAGACGAATGTCCGGCAATGGCGCCATTTGCTGTGTCTTAGGCCGTAATCTAAAACGTCGAGAACACTCGGCACAACTACTCACACAACGTTTGACCTCTTGACGTGCGTGCACGACTAAGTACTCTTAGATGGTTGATCGCAAAGTTTACGCCCATTTCATGATGCTCAGTCTCATGGTGATACTTGACAATAAGACTCGTTACATGGTTTTTCTTTGGTAATATTATTGGAATTTTCACTTCGTTCGAAAGTTCCCTCGCACTTCGTAATCTCGTATTCGACCGTAACATTCCATTCTCGAGCATTGGATTTAACTTTAAGAAAGAGCTGCTCCTTGGTACCGGTTTACCTTTCTTCAACGCAGCAATTTCTTTTGCAAAGGCTTTCTCTTGTGTCTCTTTGATTATTTGTTCCTCGCTAATGATCAGCTCCATTGGTGTTCATTCCCCGGTTTTCCTGTTCTCGCGCGTTCTTTTACAATTCCGAATAAACCGATTAACCCAAATTCGCACAATGGATAGTCCTATTTCACACTTCCCTGGTTGATTTATTCTATACCATTTGGAATGTCTTGTTGGCTCGTGTCGCCACACCAGGTCCACCTCGTTAGTCATAAGACTTCTGAGTTGGGATTCGTCTACCGACTCTTCCGATCGGGAAATACATTGTTCAAGTCTGTTTGCGCGTACATGTGTTTTTAACTCTTGACTTGAATCTGGTGTATTCGAAGATCTTCGTTCCGGCCATTTATCTTCCGTATCGCATAGGAATTGCGGGCGATGCCACCACAGTTCGTCGCTAGCTAACTGCATTATCCAATGCCTGTGTTAAAAGCGGCTTTCTGATTGGTTTAGAGCAGGTGAGCTTGTCGTCGAGCTCACCTGCTTTTCGCCGAACTCACCCGCGAAACTGCTCACGTTGCGATAACAATAACAAATATGGCGGACAAGATTTAGCCGATAAACCTAAACTTTAAAGACCTTTTTTCGGTGACTAACATACTGAGACTGAAGAACAAATGCAAACATACAAAGAACTTAAATGAATACCTTACCCAGACCGAGTAATTTACTGCTTATGAAAACAGCTCTTCGAAAATGTTAGCAACGGTATGTCATATAAAACTGCTCCGAGTTCAAGTTCAGAAAAACCTATTTACTCACATCGTGTTAATCATCTGTTGGCCTTTGTCCCGATTTGCGACTTCATGTTGTTAGATAACATATTTATCCTGATTGTTTGAAGATCGAAGGCGATGGAAAACAGATAATGATGATGCTGGACAACTTTTGGAGTCAGAGCCGATGACGGTTTCGCTGAAAACGTTTTCAGAGGCATAGCCAGGTTGGGAGCTGAGAGGACAGCCTGCGAAAATTTATTCTATACAAAGAAGTGAAAAATGCCCCCACCTAGGTTTTTGCTGCCGCCGCCCCCTCTGACCAAAAATCTTGGATACGCTTTTGGAGATTTTGAAGGGCAGTGATGTTTTGAAACCTTTTGATAAGAGCAAATTACTCAGTCTGAGTCAGATGATCTGTTGATTTTGTTCCGTTTTGGATCTTAGTGCTGTTGGATACAAAATTTAAATTTATTTGAGTAATGGACAGTGTGTTGCGGAAAAGTTGTCCGAATGCTAATTAGATAAGACGGAAACTCCCTTTCTCTTGGTATGCGCAAGTTATTATAATTAGATATTTAGATTGCAAACGTCGCGAAATGCTGTTAGTGTATAACACTACCTCCTTTAACCTACTAAGCTGTTTCCTTCTTCTTCGGTTTTTTTATAAACTGAGAATGATGATTGCACAATTTGGATTGGCGAAAAGCCGTTTGAGGATGAAATTGGTTGATACAAAAACAGAGTCGTAATGAAGTTTCAGTCAGCGTAACCAATTGGTAGGTTGGCCCTTGAGGTTTGAACTAACCAACTGTGACTCAATAAAATTGACGAAGTAAGATTTAGAAAATAAATAAGATTGTTAGTTATCGTAATTTCTCTGTTTAGCGCCACCGCCTCTCCACCCCCGACCCTCTCCTGTAAGCAATATTAATTAATGTATAAAATCGTGAAGCATGAAAGTATTGTATTTGAAAGATAATTATGATATTTGACTGAAAATCACAGTACCCGATGTTGCATATTTAAAGAGAATCAAACCAGTGCAAACAGATTCTTTGTATTTATTAGAAACACCCCGCCTCCTCCCCCCCCCCAAAAAAAAATGATAAATTACTGTATGCGTGTCCTAGTATCCGTGAGCAGGACTTTTTCACCAGGGGGGAGTAAGGTCTATATGCCGAAACAAGTCCCAAATATCCAAAGAATAATTAATGACATTATAAAAATCGTAAATATAGTTTTCTCAAGGGGCATTTCCACCCCCCCCCCCTTTCTCCCCGCTGTGTACGGTCCTGAATGTTTAGGATTGTGATAATATTTAAAGCCTGAAAAACAGATTTGCTTTCGAACGTTATGTAATTGTTGTAGTATAAAAATCAATCAGATTTTTTTTTAAATAAGTTATTATTTTTGAATTGAATTGAATTTATTACAAAATCTGAATGGCAGCTAAAAGCTGAATTGTACAGAGTTGACATTTAAAATACATGGTAAAACTAATACATATAGTAATATACGGTATATTAAAACTAAAATTTATATTACAAATAAAATGAATCATTATATGATACGATACTAGAAGGAATAAAACTTTTACTAAATCTTGTAGTCTTACAATTAATTAAGTTAATATGCTGATCGTTACGTAGATTGTAAGTACGTAAGTCCTCGCGTTTATTAGGGATAAGTTTATTCAATTGGAAGTGTTCCTGGCCTCAGAATGTTTGGCGAACCCCATTCAAATGCACAGACCATAAATATATCATATATTTTTAAAACACACCTTTTAGATTTGAGCGACTCAATTGTATTCCTCGGTAGACCAATAATATCCAGACATCGATTTTGTACTCTTTCGATATCTTGCTTCAAGTAGTGTGGTAAACCAGCCCAAATTGATGCCGCGTATTCCAGAATGGGCCTTATCTTTGAGCAGTAGGTTGTAAGTCACATATTTCTCGAGAGATTTGCTTCGTGCAGGCCCTTTCGAAATAAATTATTTTACTTACCTTCAAAACGATGTCTTGTACATGTGATTTCCTTTTAAAGTTATAATGCATCGTGACTCCAAGGAGCTTGAATTTTGTATCTCTTTCGATCGTTTCATCGCCTATACTGTTTGGAGGGGATGTGCATAATCTCGTTAAGCCTATATCCACATATGTTTTAATTTATCTTGTCAGTGTTCAACTCCATTATGTTGTAAATGTTCCGGTCCTTCACGGAATTTACTGCATCCTGCACTTTGCTGTTTTGTCCAATTGAGTCAAGTTCGTATTGGCTACAATCGTCAGCATATTTGTATGTGACTGTTGAAAGTTCATTAATTTTGGAAAACAATTTTCCTTTACATCGTCTCCCCTATGTTATCTTCATCTCCCCTATGTTATAAATGTTATAAATAACATAGGGGAGGTAACCGCACTTTGAGGGGAACCAGCTGGTATCGCTTCCACTCTAGATAAGGCAATTAAGAATTTAACTTCTGATTCGTCAAAAAACTCTTACACAATAGCCAGAATGATTTATTATCACCTTTATTTCTCAGCTTTGTCAAGAGAATCTCATAATCAACAAGATCCAACGCTTTCCGAAAGTCTATAAATAGCGCATGTACACCACTGTGTCAACTGCCTTGATTTGTGGCATCGTACCAATTTTGAGTCATGCTGGTTAAATCTGCAGACTGTGGATTTACCCGTCATAAACGCATGAAATCTGTCCGAAATCGGTAACTAAATCCATAGAATCATTTACTAGTGTGGAACAAGTGACCGAACAGTACTAATTTAGCTAACTTTAAAATTGACTTGCTCGAATATTACAAGGATGCTTTATTTAATCCCGAACCAACAGCGCGAAGCGCCTTTCCGGGGGTAAGCCCGGGACGAGGGTACTAACCCCGCTCGGCCATTTACACCCGGGTATTTGAGAAGTGCAAAGTTGTCTTCGATTATGTGATGGACGGTTTTCGACGTTTTGCGCATGCGCGAGTACAAGCTCATTTTACAAAGATATATTTTGCTGTTTTACAATGTTTTACAATGCTTTACATTTTTGCGATGGTTTTCCCATATTATTTTCACGTTAATACCCTGGCAACTACTATTATTTTAAACATGAAATATTTCATGAGGAAATTCTATAATTCATCTATTAAGAAAGGCGATGGGTTGCTGCATGCATGTATTTCTAGTATTTGTGATAGTTGAGATCTGAGATGAGAACTACCTGCAGACTTGGAAAAATATGAATGAATGAATGAATGAATATATTTTTGCCACATATATATCAATTTACATCACTTAGCAAGACATACACATATGGTACACATCACACAATTTAATTAACCTACTAAACATAATGATAAAACATTACGAACTAATTGTGGCGAGGGCGTCCAAAGTGAAACCACGAGGCTTATAAATTTGGACTACCTCAATAGCGCATGTATATCATCATTTAAAAAAAATAGTGATTACGTATGACATATAAATAAGACATTTATATATAAAAAGA